AAAACCGACCAAAAAACCAGCACATTGCATTCTCAAAATCACACAAATTGACCACAAATATATCGTAACGTCTTTTTATCAGTTTGTAGGAAATAAATTCTATGACACGGCTTGTTGTCTTACCTTGTGAAAACTCAGCCCTCCCCACGACCACGCCACGCTTCCACTGGGCGCCATTTCTCGTCTTCTCCAAAAATCCACCACGTCAGGAAATCCGCATTTTCTTCGCCAAAAATCCAGAAAACGGCACAACTCCGCAGTAGAAACATCCCCTAAGATTTCTTCTACACGTTAGAAAGAATATTTTTCGAACTGGAATCCGAAAATTTACCAAAAGGTTGAGAAATAATTCCTAGTTGTCAACCGCGTGGCACCAACAGACACAGGCTGAGTGGACTGTACCACTGTGATTTTTACACAGCCGTGTACAACAGTTGGTCTAATTACTAACCTGATACCCACAACTACTTTACCGCCAAAATCAATCCCCTCACAAAAATAATGGCTCCCTGTCCAAAATTTCGAACTAGTTTGTGTGAAAATTACACACAGGCACCGTCAGCAGCAACAATTATAGGTATCTCCAAAGTAAAGCAGCCGAAATCTATTAATTCAGTCAGCCTCGGCGGCGCCGCCACATGATTCTATGCAAACGGTGCCTGTCCTTGGTGCTGAACGCCATCCACACAATGTTAAACACATAGTGATTATAGTTATGGTGAAAACCACAACCGCGCGCTCGATTTTTGATCGTCCGTGATTAAGTACAGGATCTTGTAAAAGCTTGACAAACCCTACGGAAGAAAATAGGCATGTTCTTGAGAAAGGTAGGAGTCGAACTGTCAAAGTTCAACGGCAGCGGCTACATGTTACCTTGCATTCGGGCTAGCTGACTCCACCTGCACGAAAATCCAGGCACTTATATAGCTAATTTCACGCTTTTTCATAGACTGCACCGATTATACACGCTATATGTTGTTGCATATGGAGCATATCAGTGGTCTGGCTACAAATTATGTGGGATTAAACGGCCGATTACGCCCCAGGCTTGCAGGCATACTCACCAACAAGTTTCCGTGCAAACGTGCCCGTCCTTGGTGCTGAACGCCATCCGCACAATGTTAAACACGCAATATTGTATGGTGAACACAACGCATATGCATGCATACGCGCGCTCGATTTTTGAGCGTCCACGAAATACAGGAATTTGTAATAGTTTGCCAAGGCTTACGGAAAACAAATCTTTTAGGCATGCTCTGAAGGGGGTACAGGCCGTACGGTCAACAATGCTCTAAGCTAAATTCACAACGGCAGCGGCTAAGCGTTGCTTTTGGGGCTTCGCCTAAATCCAGGCACCATATGATTACGCTTTACGTATACTACACCGATTACGCTCTATATTGTTGCATTTGACCAATTCTAGCAGTCCGGATACGAATTTCGTGGGGCTAAAACAGCTGATTACGCCCTAGGTAAAGGGCTTGCAAGCATATATTGTATGTACGTACCAACAACGACTACAGAAAGGTAGATAACAGAAAAACGTAGACAAACAAATAGATCCAAAGAGTGCGCGATACACCATCTAAGAAAGAATGTATCGCCCAAATGTATCCGAATTGGAAACTTTCGTCGTAAAATTTCTTACATTTGACTTTTAACCGGGTCGCAACATTGCTGGGTTTGAACTACATCTGATTCAGTACCAGTGCCTGCACAGCTCGCAATATCCGCTGTGAGGCGCTGTCATACAGTGCTAGAAAGTTGTAGAACCGGTTGGGTAAAAGGTGAAAGTTCTTATCAGCGGGGTCACCGATTTGAATACTAGTGTATAAGCAGTGTGAGCTCGAGTAAAACCTATTTGCCAAGATACCAGAGCTGTTCGAAGATGCTTCCACTTCTCCTGTCGCTGTGCTTCGTTGGTAGAGTGCTATGCACAGACCTTACGGTAGGTGTCGCTGGTGTTATTGTTCGGTAAACTGCAAATGTTGTTACAAATATTCTGTAAACTCGACAAAATTCCACGCATGCTTCGCTGGCAAAGGTCTCTTACTACCTCGAAAATTATGTGCCTTCACGTACGATAAACAGCGAAGTTTTGAGGGTATTAAGGTGTATAGACAGTTACAAACCTTTATTCTTTCGAGGACTAGGTGTCTTTATACTGGAAACCGACTTGACATGTCGAAAATGTCTTACCTGAACGCGAAAATGCCTCAGCTGACCTTGGCCAGGTTAGGTTCCGATGAACTGATTCAGACGATTCCAATTCATAGTTTGTTGAGGGGGGATTGAAACACGTTGATTTCAACGTTCTATTAGTTATCGCCTAGTTTTAGTGGTATTCTTCGTGGTATGATGTATATAATTCTAGCGATAGTTGGCTAACATATACGCATATCAATGTAAATTTCTAACGTCTCTTCAAGTTTAAAGCGTTCCGTCATATTTGTTTTTGTCAGCAGACTCAAGCAAAGTGTCTTAACTATGGGGCAGCTGAGGCGTATGGGATTTTCTATCAAATTAACAACAGTGATGATGATGACAACAGAACTCTGTCCACCTTCCTGAGCAAACCACGCCTTTACTGTCAATCAGATGGCAGGTGCCATGATCAACTCCCCAAATATGGTATGGGTGTCGTTTTAAACTTTTACCTACCTCCTGTTTCATAATCTAGGATTTGAACCATTCTTTATTCATGGCAAGCTCAAATCGGCCTGCATGCCGTTTTTCATTGAAGTCATGTATATAAAAAATATAAAGTTTACACCATTCAAAGTCCTAATAAATCTATACACACACGCGCGCGCTTGCACACACGCACGCACGCACACACACACACACAAACACACACATACAAACACATATTAGTTCAAGCAAAAATATATTTTACTGTACATTACAAAATTATAATTTCTTCCCTCAAGGTAAAGGATTATCTATTTTCACAGACGATGAAGTTCTTCCCTTCCGTACGGCTCGCTTCACAACCCTCGGGGCCACCGGCCGCCTGGGCCCGACTACCCTGGGCAGCCACTACCGCGGACAGGACCACGAGGGGATGGTGTACTTACGGGACGGAGTCCAGGTCTTCACGGTGCCCGCTACGGGAGTTTACCTGCTAGAAGTCGCAGGTGGGGCTATATAAGACCGATCTATCATAATTAGAAGTTCAAACAATGAGAGAGTGGCCGAAATTCATCGTCAAGTGACGGCCTGGCCAGTTAGCAGATGCGACAGAGCTTTGACTTTTTATCCAAGCTTGACAAGTTCATTGCTACCAAATCATTACACCGATATGCGAAGTAAACATACAAATATAGTAGTAAGATGCATCCCGAGTGATACTTTGGTTTGTTGGTATAGGTGCAGCAGCAGGTTGGGGGAAGGCTGACAACAAGACAACCAGAGGCAGAGGTGCTGTGGTCTTGGCTTCGTTGGAACTTATCAAAGGTAACGATTTCAGCACCAAGGACAGGGAATACAATAGTTTTGGTCACTGAAGTCATCACATTGAATCTTCACATTTTGCGCAATAAAATTTTTCGTGAAACGTACCCGTGTTTTACGTTTGATACATAATTCGTAGACGTCATGCTTGTTGAGAAAAATTTTACTGCCCTATCAGCCGAGAAGGATTATGGGGCCGGGTAATAGTGTGGTACAGCCCTCCGACGCTTGCTGTTTTTATGGGTTTCTGTACTGCTATTCTTAATCAAATACCATCATTCATTTGAGACTTCTAAACATTACATTTTCCTTCTTGAACAGGGCGACTACTTAAGATCCTTGTCGGTCAGGAGGGAGCGGAGAATAAGGAGAGTCACGGAGTAGGAGGAAGGGGCGGTACATTTGTGACGGGCATCGACAACACTCCGCTCATCATCGCCGGAGGGGGAGGGGGCGGCAACCGCCAGGAGACGCGCAACGCTCGGTGTGACGGGACGGGTGCTGGCGAGGGGAACCCTGGATACACCCCCAAGGGAGGGACGAGCTTCCCTGGCGGAGTGAAGGGACACGGCGCGACGGAGGGGGACCGGGATAACGTCGGCGGCGGGGGAGGGAGCCTGCTCTCCCGAGGGGCGAGCTCGAAGCACTTCGGTGGGAAAGACGGGGCCTACGGCGGGGAAGGGGGTGGATCATACATTAAAGGGGGTGTGGGAAGAAGGCCGTATGTGAATGGTGCCGAAGGGGGGTTCGGGGGAGGAGGGGGTAGTTTTGGTAACGGGGGAGGGGGTGGAGGAGGAGGGGGGTACTCCGGGGGAGGGAGGGGAGACAACTGGAGTGACGCGTGCGGAGGTGGCGGAGGGTCGTTTTCGGCTGGGAACGAGACGGTCGCAACGGACGGTGGGAACGACGGTCCAGGCTATGTCGTCATCACTAAGTTATAAACATATTAAACACGTGACCAAGAAGCCCACTGCTCATTCGATAGTACTGTGGCTGTATATAATTTGATTTCAAAAAGTACATGATAAAGTCTATCCTCATGTAATAGTTCATCAGATAAATCGAAATAAAGCTGTTAGCAGATGGTTACACTTCCAAGACTTTGTGTTTTATCCATATAAAATCAGTTGCAGTTGTTCATTTATTCATTCTAGAACAATAAACTATGACGGAGTACAAACGACCGGATCTATTGCGTCACGCATTTTCTCTGAGGCACCCGAGTTTGTCTCAACTACAATATCTGCAACTGCCTTGGACAAATTTGGGTCCACTATACGGGTTTCTGCTACGCCTGACATTTCTGTGCAGCCGTCTCCACCAGGTGATGCTGTTACTTGCTGCTTAGCTCGAAGCTGAGTCACATGTTCGAATGGAAGAGGCGCGAACGGTCGTGTTGTATCGTTCAGCAACGCTGACAGGTGTCCTGCAAAACCACGAGAGGCCCACAGAGTATCCACAACCCCCGCCAGAGCCTTCGGTAGATAGCCTTCCTTTCTTTTCGGAGGAACAGTCGGACGAATTACTGAATAGGGCGACTTCAACTTACGTTTCCCGCTCTTTTTGGAGTCGTCTTTGACAGGAATCCAGAATGCCAGCCCGTCTTGTCCTGGATGCGGCGGCGACACGATCCACTCGGACTGAGTTGGGAACGAGACCAACGACAGCTGGTCCAGGAATTGTGGGTCGAACTCGTTCTCAGGGACGATCCAGACCCTCGTGTCGTCTGCTATGTCCAGGACTGACTCACGGCCTGGCTCAGACGTCTGTCTCTTTTCGGAAGATTCCATCTTACCGTACTGTTATGAGTTTGGAATTCATCAGAAACAAGGCCATCTGCGAATTTAAGGCCAGGAAAATGTTCAATCGTGGGCCGTAGACGTCTTTTTCTTGTACAGCGTAAGGTAGTCCGCTTTATTCTGCAAATAAGAAAAAAAAGCAAAACGTTGCGTAACGATACATGTAACAAGTTATACATATTGGTTTACTTAATATATATAGAAACAAATGAAACCTGCGCAAAGACAGATCTTGCTTGTAAAAACAAAATGTTCCAGAACGTTGTGTTTTAAACCTACGTTACATTTGAATACATATACATTTCATAAACCTTCAACGAATACATGCTTCTCTGCTTAGTTGTAAAGAACCAGCAAAATTTTGGATAAGTTGGTTATTACATTTAATGAGAACTGTTTCAACAAAACCGACAAAAATAAACCCACACGTACCTTCACGCAGAGTTTATCAAACGGACGTGAACACTGGAGACCAGGTAGATTTCGGTGAAGAGTAATTCAGGACTGTTTTCCTTGGGCAATATATATTTTCGTCTTTCCCTTCCAATAGCTCATCACTCGTCACTACAAAATAGAACCCCTGTTTTCGACCCTTATAACTAGTACAGCTGCAGTGACACTTAACGTGCCCTGCCTGACGGCCCCAAGGCCGGGCGGCATTCCCCCTGCACCGGCTTGGCAGACGGACTGTTCCAATTTCAAGCAAAATGGGTGGGATGGGTTGATAAAAAGGGACCTTATATCTTCTACGCATGGCAAATAGAACTTGTTTTGAAGAAAATGGCTGCCCGGTGTACAGGCTACATGACTTCTGCTGTTTAGTGAGTAGTTTGGGGTGATATCTCGTTTGTTTTTTTTTTATTCATCAAAACATACAGACATAACAAGGACAGTGTGACGCTGCACTCAAGTTAACAACTTATATTAACAGCGCCACACACAAAAAAGGTACAATTAACATTTAAATATACAAAGTTGACATGTGCACCGTAGTCCCACCACCCCAAGACATTAAGATATTAAATTAAATGCTAACAGAGCTATTTGAAAGATAAGATTACATGGTAACCTCCTATATCTCATTGCCGGAAAAACATCCGCCAATCAGAGCTAGGAGGAGAATTTAGGCCCATTAACACTTACGTAGTATTTGGACTTCTATATCTAATTGACTGTTAGAAACAGTCAAGCAGAGCTAGAAGCGCTTAGTATCTCCAATGTAAACCTGAGTGAGTTGCATCGTTTTAAAGTTGTACATAGAGGGTAACATTGAGGAGCCTCTAAGAATGAAGTGCAGTTTAGCATTATCTGACATATTATTAAGGTTGACAAGATGACCAAGTAAATCTGCAAGATTGCCAAAAAGTTCCGATCTCTCATTATTGTATAATGGACAATGTAGCATGAAGTGCATGACAGATTCGCAACGACACCCGCATCTACAAGAGGCACTGGTAGAGAGTCCTCGGGTAAACAAACTGTGATTGAGAGCACAGGTGCCGATGCGGAGCCGAACAAGAAGGGCGCAGGTGTAACGGGGGCCACAATTGTGATGTGGGGGACAAAGGGGGCGTACTAATCTAATAAGGTGTTGTTGGTCGATAGTACACGTAACGGAATGTATCCCAGAGGTTGCTAAATGCCAATATATCACAAAGCATTAACTCAGTAAAGTAAAATCGTGATGAAAATGTCTTTGTTGGTGTGTTATGTTTCGAAATTTTCCTGCCCCCCTCCCAATTAAAAGGTACATGAAACAAACATCATAAGTATTCAATGCTTTAGGAATTTCCTTGTACGCCGTGGGTCACTACTGGGGGCAGCCTGCCAACCGACGTCTCCCCTGGGCGGTATGAAGTCACGCCTAGAAGGCCATTTATGGTATTATAGGAGTGGCTTACCCCAGGTCAAGGAACTGGGAGCCGACTACATGTGTTGGACCCATGTATTTTGTAGTGTTAGTACCTTTCTTCCTCGTTGCTATGGCAACGCATTGATAAACGTGGTCGTTTTGTTACGGAATAATAGATCACCCTCTTGGTCACGTCACAACATAGTCCTAACTCATTTTGGATAGAGGAAACCATAATTCATCCGGTATTATAAAAAAGAGCACTTGAACTTATCTTAACTACGTGAAAAACTGATTCAAAAGCGTTACTACCTTGTATTCATCATGACGCCATTTGTTACGGAATTTATGACGTCATTATTAGTTAAAGGCGGTGGGATTTTCATGACGTCACTATTGTTTCTGACGTTCGATGGTTTTGTCAATATTAGTTCTAGAAACTACAGGAATTCCCACAAGAGCTGAAAGTCGAATACTAGAAGTCATAGAAAAGGAAAGGTACCACACAGATTTGACATTTTAACAAGAATGGGAGATGTTGTTAAATTGCTTATGTACCTATGGGCCATCGTAGTTATCGTGTAGCACACAACAGAATCGGGTTAACGTTACGTCGCAACATGTAATGAAGGGAACCAACACACAAAAGACATGGCCACCACAAAAGGTTTGGATCAGAGAGGTTCTATTTTAAAGCGAAGAAAGTAACACAAAATCTAAGACTGAGAAACACTAAAAATGATATGTTGAATCAGTAAACAATCTAGTGTTGAAACTTCCTATGTTGTAACTTTATAAAACATGCTAAAGTACATCTTGTACCAATGTGCATGTGACTAAAAAGTAAAACAACTTCATCAACTTTGACAGCTATACTCAAATACTGTACAATTTCATAATCATACTTACGAATCATTCTGTACAAATCATAGTATGTCTGGACGGTTCAGTATCATAGTAATCTTCCTCATTTCTGTATCTCTAAGAATTTAGGAGAAAACTTACAATCTAACCCCACTTCTATGATCTTTCTGCAATAGATGCCACCTATAGTTCTGCCTTTCCTAATGATTTGTCCACACAATTCTCTTATGATATTTATTATAAAAATATTCAATTCTGCAATTAACATATTCACATGCTTCATTTGGTCCATTGATAGTTCTAATAAAAATTGTCAAGCATGAAATTTTTTGGTAGATATGGCTCTTATATTATACTTAAAGTATAATTTGACTTTCATAAAAGTTGATTGCAATTTGTTTGAATTGACAACTTTAGTTAAAATGTCTTTGGCAGGGTGGATATATTCGTATATAAATCTTTATATGTATCATGCTGCATTTAAATTCATCTCTTATCATCATGATATTTTCTGAATAAAAGTCACCATTTTGGATTATACATGTAGTGAGATTGGGGCACTCTTGTTTCTATAGTGCTAGCAGGTATATGCAAATTAGATGTTGAATTTTAGTGGATATGTCAATAGTATGAAGTACAGTACACCAGGTCCTATGATTTGTATGCATAATGAAATCTTCCTAGTATATTTTTTACCAGCAGTTCTTGATATTTTTGTAAACAGACCAACTAAATGGATTTTGATAATGATTTTTGTAGTTGGTAGTCTATGGAATAAGTGATTTAATCATGTTCAAGGTCTGGATTCAAAGAGGAGAAGGCACTTAAAGCTGGTGTCACGTAGCAGGAAATAAGTCACTTGACGAGTCTGCTCGAAATGAATATGACCAGTGTCCTCTCGATCACTAGGTGATTTTTTTTGATACACAACAATCTGACGTTTGCAGTTGCAGCCCTATTCAAAGTTATAGGACAGATTTTCAGGCAAAAAATACACTTAACTGTCTATCGATTGTAAAATTTGGTGACCTTCAGCGATCAAGAAATTGGGCTGAAGGTCAACCAGTGTGATCTCAGCTCCATAGCTCCAGCTCCAATGTATGTGAAGTTAAAAGCCTCAAAATGCCATTTTTGTATGCCAAAAAAAGTGCCAAGCCCTACGGCTATTACTACACCTCATCAGCATCTACTGCACACAGTTTGATTGCGTCAAATTCAAAGTAATTTGTTGTTTTTTAGGCAGTTATGTTTTTCTTGAATGACTGTAATGTTCTGACCAATATTTTGGAACGATAACAGTATTTGGGGAATGTTTCATGAAGTTTGCAAGTCAAAAACTCTGGCAGCATAACTGATTATTGTGGAAATAGAGATTGTAGTCTAATCTGAATTCTGAACAATGTTGCTTTTTGTGAAGATGAAAACTTTTGAATTTGGTCCTCACAGAAAACTCACTCTTCAAGACAGATGAAAAAATCATTGTAACACCAAAAACATGCATCTTTAAAACTCCAAAGTCAAAAACAAATTACGTACATCAGTAGGTTTTGAGACCTCTTCCAAGATTCATTCTTACCAAAAACAAGTATTGCTTTGAACTTGTTACCCACACAGTGTAAAAAGAAAGCCAAAAAGCCTCTTCCCCCGAGGCATCACCAAAAAATAACTTGTTTTAAAACCCTTGTCCTGCAGAGCTCATATATGGGTTGTACATACAGTACCATCTATATAGAGCCCTTGTATGTGTACGATTTGGGGATATTTCTAGTCCAACGCATCACACAGCCACCACGGCCAAAAAAGTCAAGGGTCTACATGACATCAAATTATCTGGAAATATTGTGTAAAAAAATTCCAGCAGGACAAGGGTTAAAAATGACATTTTGTGTGTGTGGGGTTTGTGTCATGGGTAACACTGATTATACAGCAAGCATTGGCATCATCAGAGACTCGTTCCTTCCCTTCCCATCATGCCTCGCTCACCAGCCCTGCCTTGTCATCCTCCCGGTCCACAACTGGACTGGTCTCGCGGGACGAGTACGCGGGAGGGGGGCTGGCGGGAGGTGGCGACGCGGCGTGCTGGGTCCGGGGAGGGGCGACCGGGGAGTCGGCGGGCAGGCCGGTTTTCTCCGGCAGAGGCCCAGCCTCCACCATCACCCCCTCCACCTCCTGGTACATCGGGTTGGAGAACGTGATTGGTGGTTTCTCCCCACCCATCCCGTCCAATGGCTGAAGGGGAGACAAACAGTCCAAAGGGATACACGGCTATAGAACTGTTGTTAGATTATAGATGTAAACACAAAGACGTGGCAAAATGAGTACATTGTACAAACTTCTCCTGGACTTCATTCTAGTACTAGGAAGTCTCAGACTAGCTGATAATAATCTAGCAGTTCAAAGAGGATCAGTACAGAGTCAAATAACCTAAATAACTAATCTAATACATTATGTGCTACTGGACCCTTATTTTTCAGTCATTTGATACAATTCCTCTGGTCACACACCTTAGTAGCTGTTGATTTACTTTGGTCAGAAAAAAGATATTTAAACCTACCGGCCCTAGTGCCTCCTGATCGTCGTAGCCCATGTAGGACGGCGTGCCCAGCTCCTGGACGTTTGTTCCATCTCGGAATGACACACTTCCTCCCGTGGTGCCGTTACCACCTATTACCCCTGACTTGAAGCTGCACAAAAACATGAAAAATATATATAATGGTATTTGTAATGATTCAGTTGTATGATAGTTTGAATAACATGTCACTTTGTCCATTATTGTATGTAAAACAAAATGGACACTTAATTTCAAAAACTGACTTCTGTACATGCAGCATTTGTGATGTATTAAAACTATTTGCAGCCAATAACGAGGGATATCCAAAGGTGAGGTTGCTCTCCCCACCTAGGCCTAGAAAGGAAGCTAAAATTGGCTAAATATGAGCAGGCAGAGTTTGAGTACAGGACAGTTTACATGTTTTTACAGCATCTAGAAGTTATGTTTCATGCTTGTTAACAGGCTCAGTCTCCTCCTAGAAATCAAACTAAAATTTGACTACGATGACTATAACATGAACAGTCAGAGGTTGAGTACAGGACAGTGTACAGCATACTTACAGCCATGGGAGTTTGACATTGGGCTTGGGAAGGTCAGAGAATCGAGGCAGTTTGCTGAAACCGAAGCCACCCCTGAGTCACAGCAGGAGAGGAGGGTGGAAGGAAAGAAGGAAAGAGATTGTCAAATTTTGAGAGAGAAAAAAATATGGTTCATCACAGAACTGAATAAGATATGAAAACCTTTCAGAGATCATCATATTATATTGACTTCATATAATTATGGATAAAACCCTTCAGCCAAAGTGCTATGCAAAATACATCACGGGATTCACTGTGCAGTACGTTCTGCTACCCTGCTCAAGCAAGTTACTTAGTTGTTAGCAGTACTCACATGTCAGGCATCTTCGGCCTGGGCAGCTGGATATCAGAAAACTGGGGCAGCTGGGGCAAGGTGCCTCCTCTGGGAGGGTGAGAAAAAAATGACAATATTTTTTAGTCACCAGCTCCAATATATCAACCTTCAGTCTGCTAAGGCAGCTGTTTGGCACCAAATTTGTATAGGTTATGGGGTTACGCTGCAGGGAGAAGGTTAAGAAGTAGCCATTGTGGCCATAATTGCTCTGATTCCATAATAGTATGAATAAAAAATATAAAGTTGTATATCTTGCAAGTATTTATGTGGATATGCATAACCTCAAGTGATACATGTAGAAACCGAAAGGTGATCACCTTCTCTTGTAGTAGAAGAAACCAACAATAGCCAGAACTATGATCAGGATCAGCAGCAGGGGAACCACAACTGCAGCAACATCTGGAACAATAAGAAATTAAACAAATCAACAAATGGTCTATAAAAACACATCATATGCATGGTTTGTGTAGATATTCAAATAATTAATTCACAGATTTTACCACCATGTATGGAGGTTTTGTTTTCAGTACATTTGTGTGTGTTTGTGTTTCTGTAGTTCATGCTATAGGCATACAGAGGTATGGGTTTATTGCATTTTTCAGAAAAGTAAAACATGTCCACAATGTAAAAGACACCTCTTGACCAATTCCAAAATCATATCCAGTTACTTGAGTTACTGTTTTTGTTATACATGTAATGTAACAGACAGTCTGCCAAGAAAAGTCATACTAGTTTTCATGTTTTCCAAAGTGGTAAAACCACATTTCTGTGTCCCTGAAAAAAAAGAAGAAAAAAAAAAAAGATATCCTACTTGCTCCTCCCGGTGGTCCACTGCTGGAGGCACCCAGCTCACAGTTATCACCCAGGTATCCCTTAGGACAACTGTAGAGAACAGTCAACACAGATACATCAGCTTAGGCAGGGTAAACACATGGACAGGGGACTAACATGTATGTACATTGTACTGTCAAACTGTTTCACTGAATCTTCACATCAATTTTGATAAAAATGAAATATATCATAGACAGACATACATGCATGCAAGTGGACATAAACTTCTGTGGAAACTTTCACATAAGTACACTTTACGAGGTCTTGAGTGGTCTTCCTAATGGTAGTGGCTAAATTTTGAACTTACTTGCACTTGGGTATTCCCTGGCTGATGACACAGACTCCTCCATTCACACAGGAGCAGACAAGAGGGGGGTCGATGGGCTCAGAAATAGCTGCAAATCAAACAAACATACTTTGGTGAAATTCTAGTCAAACTACTAAATACATGTAAAATTTAATAATTTAGACACTGGAAATATCTAACAAGCAACTTTTGATACAATTTCATTCTCTAGTGTAGCCTTTTGCAATACATGAATTACATTGTATACAGATACATTGTAAGTGTGCCAGGCACTTGGATGGTTAAGTCTACCTGCATTTATGTGACACTTGGATGGTTCATTTATGTGACACTTGGATGGTTAATCCTACCTCCATTAATGTGACACTCGGATGGTTAAACCTACATGTACCTGCATTACTGTGACACTTGGATGGTTAAGCTACCTACATTAATGTGACACTTGGATAGTTAAGTTACCTACATTACTGTGACACTTGGACAGTTAACCCTACCTGCATCACACTGTGTCTGGCTGTCAGGTAAGAAGTCAGACCCATCCGGGCACACACAGCGATATCCACCTGGGATCTGAAGACACATGTGACTGCAAACATTCTCCTTACACCTGGTGTTCACTGGGAGAGGAAGCACAACAACAGTTATCATCTCTATTACCCTATAGCTACTGCCAATCTAACAGACCAAAACATGCTAAAGGCACATTCTACTTAAACCTCATATTAACTGCGAGAGGAAACACTGCTGTGTCATTGTCAGCACCAGGTCCTCTATTGCCCACAGTTTGTGTTAACCCCTAACATATTTAAGATCCAGCAGTTTTCTGCTTTTTGTAATGTTTCACAGTGTTGTGCTGGTTCATTCTCCTTATCCTTACATCAAGTCCAGCATTCCAAGGCATACAAGAACTTGGAGATGACCAGAAATCGCATCAGTTTGAACTAAGAGCTGAGGCCTAAGTCTTTGACTACAAGTACACGAAGGTAGGTACTATTGAATGGAGATACACCTAACATAAACATGCTGAGAGTCAACAAAAACAAGAAAACACTAACCTTCCTGGTCGTATCTCAATTTCTGGTGAATCTTGATGTCCGTGGGGAGGTTGATTCCTGACTGCAGCAGGACTTTCACCCCTCGGCCAAACTTGTCCTGGTGGTAGATGTTACCTGTGGTCTGGGTGGTCCAGAACAGCTCTCCCTCAAACACATCCAGTCGGAACGGATTCTCCAGAGCTGCATTCAAAACAGCAATAAAACATGGTCAGGCAACCCATAAATAGCTAGAACCATCCAACGATACAAAACAAGCAACCATTTTCCATCAGTGACATGTTTTTGCCTCACAGACATTATGGGTAGTATGCTGTATGCTATGGGATAAGGGTTGATTCAACTTACAACATGACCAAAAAATTGACCAAAAAATCCAGTTTTGCCAACCTGCACTGGATGCTTTTAAACCCTGAAGCAGCTTATTTGAAATTCGCTGCTACAGGATCTACCATTTGCATAGACAACTGTGGAGTCATACTATAAAATCAATAGGGAAGTTGAAGGCTCCTGACAATACACTAAAAATGGCCAGACAATTCCCACAATGCATCACATTAGACATGTACACTTCAAACTGTGAAGTAGCTTGTAGTATGTCTCACCTCCACTGAGAACCATCTGTCTGTCTGTGCCGTCCCAGTTGATGGACTCGATGACATTTTCCTTGGCGTCGCACCAGTACACGCGGTGGTTGTTCATGTAGTCGATGGTCAGCCCTGTCGGCCAGCCGAGCTGCGTGCCGACCACCACCTGTCGCTGTTCCCCGTTCAGCCAGGCCTGCTCGATCTTCGGAACAGCCCCCCAGTCTGTCCAGTACATCACACTGGAAAGGTACAAGAGATTATAATTATGTTTCTTTGCAGAAGGAAAACATGTTTTTGCTCTGTTTCTTCTTCATCTTTTACAAACAAAAAATGTCAACGACCTGGACCAGACTGTTGTCACCATGGTAACTGGTGATGTAGCAGACACTGTGTTGTTAAATTACATTATGTAGCAAGTTGCAGGAGAGAAATGGAGAGGCCGGCATAAACCTACAAGTTTTCCCATGTAGTAGTTTGTTACATGGAATATACAGTAAATTACTAGCTAAAATGTCACATCATCACAATACTAAATCTATCAATCCTTAAACTGATGAATGTGATAAATGTTCATAATGGCAGACTGAGAAAGTTTTTCTCCAAACCATCAATACATAGCATGTTAAACACTGAGGGGTTTACGTACCCCTTCTCAGGGTTGACAGCGATAGCTGCAGGTTTGTCCAGGTTGTTACTGATGAGGGTCTTCCTGTAGCGCCCATCCAGCATGGACACTTCAATTTTGTTGGTGCCCGCATCAGTCCAGTACAGAAGGCTAAGAGAGGAACCACATCAAACGTTCAGTACATGAGTACAATTTGCATCCACACTTGTACTGAATTCATACTCAGGAATTCTTAGCTATGGGGGATAGACATGTTTTCAGCCTCTTTTTATCCCAATAAAACCGTTGACTACTATCCCTTAAAAAAAAAGAACAAGATGACTTAGTATATTTGATGTAGAATCTTATATTTAGAATCATGTTGCAGCCATAGTGTGTAGAGAGCCATTGGCTATGTCCAATGCAGATCAATACAATGCTATTGGATCCACCACCAAGGTGTAGCCAAAAAAAGAGTGCCTTACCCAGAGACCCAGTCCACAGCGATGCCGTCTGGCTCAGACAGGTCGGAGATGCCCAGGTCCTGGGTGATACCAAGGTGGGCGGGGTCCGTGGGGAGGGACGCTCGCTTGATAGTCTTTGAGGAGGTGTCCGTGAAGTATACAAGACCTGGGGGAGGGGGGCAGAAACATCAGGGATGAAGAAATGGTTTATATTGAATAATGACCATGACCACATTGCTGGCCATAGGGTTAACATTCGCCCTGATTCTCTAACACTAACTTGTGTGTGTGTCCTTGATTATGAGCAAGTCATAGTGATAGCTGTCCTTGGTGCTGAATGACATTCAGACTGACACAGCTATCCCTAACTTACATGTAGCTGTCCTTGGTGCTGAATGACATTCACACTGACACAGCTGTCCTTGCTGCCACGCTGACACAGCTACCCCTAACTTAGCTGTCCTTGGTGCTGAAGGACATTCACACTGACACAGCTACCCCTAACGTAGCTGTCCTTGGTGCTGAAGGACATTCACACTGACACGGCTTGTCATGTATGTCATGTAAGAATATAACATGAGCAACTTTTTGTATACACTTTAACTTAAACTCATGCACACTACATGTGGAAGTAGGTACGTTCTTGTATACTGTATACTCATAAATTAGTCTAATTAGCAGATTATACATGTAGGATGATTCTGTCTTGACGTACCATCGGCAGCCTTACAGACAGGCACATCGGCACCCTCCAGTCTGAAGCCGCGGGAACAGACACAGCGGAACGACCCCTTGTTGTTCCTGCAGCCCTGAGGACAGCTGCCGAATACCTCACACTCATTCACATCTGGAAAACAGAAATAGGAGATTTCAGACTTCCAAAAAGTGTTCTGGGATTTCATGAATGTAGTGGAACATGATGTAAATTTGCCACTTCCTGAATTCCTCCATATACTGCCCACCACTTACTCTAACCAGACCAATGCTGGGTCACCTTCAGGCTTGACCTTCGTATCAATCATCTGTCAGCAATTGGGCGGTCATCCACCAAAAACAAGAGTAAGTAATATATATAGTGATATTGCTGTCTGTTTCTGTTGTTTAATACAATAGTAAGAATATTTCTAAAGACCTTCAGCCATCTTGTATAATCTTAGAACATCTTAGAGTATCTTGGAACAATGTAACATAGTACATTTCAAGATACATGATATAAAATGAATGTAAAGATCTAAACAAGCTTTGCCAAACTTACCTCCACAAGACCTGCTGTCCACAGCTGATATGGTATACCCAGGTCCACATGAGCAGACATAACCACCCTGGATATCTGTACAGTTCCTCTCACATCCATGGTCTCCATCTGTACACTCATTCCTCTCCTCATTGTTACTGTCTACAATAGAAAGTACAAAATTGCTTTTAGTTTGTGAACATTATTATATCTCTGTCTCTAAATTATAAGTATCTTTATTTGAGCTTGGATTTGGTTTTGTGATAGGATTGGAAAGGAGTTTTTCGTGGTGATGGTACTTTAACATGAGCATTTTGGAATTGATTCAGAACTTGAAATTTCTTTTTGCAAATCAGATAAAATTAAGGTGAAGAATTAAGAAAACAATTGATGAAATTGGTGTGGCCTTAATCAGGAAAAAAGGCAGAAAAATATTCAAAATAAAAAAAATCATCAGTAGAGCAAAACATACCAAAAGTATTGAAATCTAAAAGTAAAATAAACTGAAAAATAAAACCTTTGATCAACAAGTCTCCCGTCATGTTGGCTTGTAAATAAAGCAAAATTTGGATTTAAAAGCAAGAAAATTAAAGTAGGTTATTGCCTCTATTTATCAGGGTATTCTCTAATCACAGATTTGGAAGTTTTGATTAATATCTAATAAAACTGCTCAGTACATGTACAACAGAGAAAGTCACCTGTTATGTCAATCCTACCACAACTTTAGTAGTAGCAGTATCCAGTATTTTAATGGTACATGTACATCTTAATAAATGAATATTTCTGTGATATACTTACTACAGCCGTACTCATCTGACATGTCTCCACAGTCGTCAGCATTGTCGCACAGTTTAGTGCTGGACACACAGTTGTGGTTCTCACACTTAAACTCATTATCTCTGCAGTTCTGGCGAGTTGGCTGGCCTGGAGACAAGACAACATCAAAAACTGAAGCCTGTCACACAATCCCCTAACATCAACGTAACCGACCAAGGTTGGTTGAAGTTTGCGAGTAGTCTGACCAGATAGGCTATGCCTACCATTCAATACAAATCAAATCGAACTTGAGTTCATTTTGAGTCAAATTTGACTGCCAACTATGCCCCACTCTACTCCAAAAACACCAGCCAACCATAGATCAACCTCAACACCTGAAAGTTTTAAACATTCACAGCTGAACACTTACATTACATTACACTCGACCTACTCCTAACCATGGTTGGTGGAGCTAGGCAGTGTTTGGGAGTCCATATTTGGCTATGTGTGACAATGTATATATTTCAACGAAATAACATTTGTTGACGTACATATAGTGTGGTTGTTTTCATCGCTAGCGTCTCCACAGTCATCCCTGAGGTTACAGAGTTTCCAGCGAGGGATACACGGACCATTGCTGCACCTGAAGCGAGTCTCCTCCGGACAGTCAATCTGGTCTGGAGGGGAAAAACACAGTCACATTGTCACAACATTAGACAGGTCTACAGAAAGTATTTTAGGTGAGGAGCTAGTGACTCTTCAAAGCAAAGAAAACATACATAATACATTACTAAAAGAATTACATACTACATCAAGAAATCGAAAATTCCAAACTTCTGGAAAACCTTGGCTGGAAAAAATATGACTTTCCCCTGATGGCATCTGGCCAGATTCTAAGACCTTTGACCTCCTTGTTTACGCACCCACCCATGTGCTGTCAACCTAATCTGGACACTCAGACAAACTCAGAGACTCAACAACCCAAAACAATACTTCTGTACCCAGGAGTAATTTGGTTAAGTACTCATTAGGCTAAGGCCAACCCATAAAATTGGCATGGTAAAAAAGTCATTAATCGGTTTTTATAGTCATAGTCATTTGCTGAAGCAACAGACTTTCGTAGTAAATTTGCTTACTTCTGACACAAGCCCTTAACTAAGAGCAAAAATGTCAACTGCTTGCCATAACAAATCCAGAGTTCATTCAACAAACATTCACGTAACAAACATCAAGACAAAAGCCATCACTAGAAAGTACTCAGTACTTGTCTGACAAAGCTCAAATTTATCAAAACATTGCAAACGGTTTTGTGCTCAAAGTTTGGCAACAGAATCATTGTTATGTTTAACTATTATTATTAATGGTAGCTTTTACAATCTACCTGATTAAAATATCTTTGTAGAAGTAAACTGGGCCTTGTGTAAATAACCAACAGCCATCAAAACTACTTACATGTATTAGTACTCTATACATCCTTGTGATCCACCACTACACAGTAATGTGGAGTGGTACTTCGCTGATGTATACATACATGTATTACATAAACACCCTATGAGAATTTCACAGACTATTTCTGACAAGCAACACTATGGGATGGTTGGTGCTTCTGGCTGTCCTAACCCTGCTGCAACAAGGAGGGACAGCAACTGTCAAAAACCTCCCTGAGCTGATCCATGATTATGAGGGTACAGCAGCAACACACAATGAAGTCACTGGACAGTGCGCAATGTGCTGTCCTTCTGAGCCCAGTGCAGCGCTGGACCACCTCCTGCTGTACCTGAGCACACAGGAAAGCCTGGAGGGACAGCTGGAACAGCTTAAGAACAAGACTGACAGCCTGGATGGACAGCTGCAGCAGCTAGCTCAACAGGAGCAGGCTGAAGTGAGTACAAACGCATGTACATTACATGATTGTACATAATAATCTGAAACTAAACTTATAAAGGATTAGCCCTGAAACATGCAACCATGCTATATTAAGTGACTGTTTGTGTTTTTAGCAGATTCCTTGAATATTCCCAAGAGTTAGATAGTTTTCTTCGTAGCCTGACTGAGCATCTGCAAAAACAAAGCATTTTTAACCAGTTTCAGGCTGAGAGTGATCTGAAGGCCACAGTGGAGGCTCTTCAGGCCACAGTCAGCAGTCAGGACAGCATCATCCAGCAGCAGGCTGCAGCCTTACAGCAGCTGCAGGTAACTCTGCAGCAACAGGCCACGACTATCCAGCAACAGGAGATAACACTACAGCAGTGTACTACAAGCCTGCAGCAACTGGAAGGTACTTTGACTTTGTTTTTTTGTTAGCTACTCTTACTGTAAGACACACAAAATCACACAAATACTGTCACACAATAACATACTTAACGTGAATATAAACTACAGATTCTGAAAAAGAAGAAGTGCAAGTTCAGGTACTGAATTGATGAAGGTTATAATGACTGTCATACATTGTACATTGTAGTCTAGCATAACATGAACTATGGACTTAGGCAGGGCAAAATGCCTGAGATGTGTAAACATGTACAATCATGTATAGCATAAACACATCCAGACTTACATGTAAGCTCATGGTTTTGCATGTTCCTGCAGCTGGATCTTGATCATCAGTATTAACTACTAGTATTTAGTACTACATGTAGTATGGTGTATCTTGTATCACCTGAGACACCAGGCCTCCCTTTGGCACAACTGTGCAATATGTCCAGAATTTGGGCTGGGACTGAGGCAGATACATCATGTTTGTAGGTCACACCCACCAGAGAAAACACACATGTCCATGCAAAATGAGCCAGAAGTTGAGAAAATTTGGTATCCCCAAACAAAGAATTGTAAGAACATTTAATTTTGACATCCAATTCCAGTTTTTGAATTTTTGACAATGGAGCTTTTTGTTTGTTTGCATACAGACAAGGTGACTGGACCTCATAACTGCTGGGAACTTCTGAACAACGGACACGACACGAGTGGGGTTTACACCATCTACCCCACTGGAGGGGGCATCAGTCCTATACATGTCTACTGTGACATGGACACTGATGGGGGAGGATGGACGGTATGTAAATCTCCTTCATTTGATGTATCTGTAGCCTTAAATTTTCAAATTTCACATACTGGTCTATATCAAAACCAGAATTCCTGCTGCAGTACCTTAGAAAGTCACAGGGGGACAATAACATCATTTCGGAATTTTGCCAACACCTAAGTCCTAACAATATAACACTACTTACAGATATCAGAATGATCCTTGAGTCATGTTGTTCACAAAAACAATATATTACCTCCAATACCTATAGCACAAGGAGCAAAAAATTCAATAATAACATCTTTCCATCTTAGGTTTTCCAAAGGCGTCAGGATGGTTCAGTGGATTTCTACCTGGACTGGCAGGCCTACAAGACAGGGTTTGGGGACCTCAGAGGGGAATTCTGGCTGGGTAAGGGACAAATCTTTTAATTTATTTTCCATCAATATGTACAAATTCTTGTCCTCTCCCTACCAGGTCTTGAAATACGCACTGGTTAGTGCAGGTAAAATTGGAGCTATGCAGCTATTTCTAATGTCTACCTGGTTTGTATACAAATATAACGTTATATGATGATTGTGGATTTTCATTTTCTGCATTGACTGTTACCACTTACCTTGTGTAAAACAATGGCAATGGTTTTAATATGACCCACACTTTTTACATTTTGAGTGCAGATAAAATCTGTCTGGTGCAGGTAATTTTTAATGTTACCTTCAACAGTGCAGGTATGCAGAAAAAAGTATATGGAGCCCAGCATACGAAATTTGTTTAAATAAGTTTTCAAAGCTAAGGCCATGTTGATTTGATTATATGGATGACATCCGCGCGCGCATGAATTTTCGGCCGTTTCCAAAAAAAAAAGTTTTCAACCATACTGTAAATCGTGCAAAACAGTTGCTAAATGAGCAAAAATATACCATAAGTTGCAAGGAAAACATTTAGAAACGATACCAATGTCGTAGAATGCCAAAATCAAAGGAAAAAAGACAAAAATGTAAAGAAATGAATTCGAAGAGTAGATTATTCGCCATAACATATTCTGTGCCATTTGTTCAACCTTCATGACCACGTAGATTTCATAGTGAAAGCAACTTTTTTTTTTGCAAAACTTTTTTTTTATTCGCACGCGCGCATCAGTTTTGGGGTTCCCAGAGGATGTCATCCATATAATCAAATCAACATGGCCTAACTAGTAACACTGCTTATTCCCAACACAACAGGTAATGACAATATCCACCACCTGACTGCACAGGGAGGATATGAATTAAGGGTCGATATGGACGACTTTGAGGGAAACTCAGCCTTCGCCAAGTACAGCACCTTCAGGGTGGAGGATGAAGGGCACATGTACAGACTGACTGTAGAGGGATTTTCAGGAACTGCAGGTACAAATGTATAAAGAAGAATTTAAAGATCTCATAACTCCATGAAAGGTTTTTTTAAGTTGTGTGTACATTTCTTGTTTTATTGGGATTTACTATAGTTGTGAATATCTCGCTGATTCTGTCAAGTTTGCATTTTCCCATTGGCTCCCATATCAGACATGCATTATACAGCAGGAAATCAAAGACAGGAAATGACAAAACCTTTTCTGGGACCTTTGACCTACATGTAACTTTACTGTTAGTGCCCTGATAGGCCTTTTGATACGTGTACAATGTTACTTGCACATATTCACTATTATTTGCGGAATAAAATTTGGAGACATAATTGTACAAGCTTTATTCTGTTCCAAATAGTCAGGTTTCACAGTATGAACTACATGTATGTCTACTAGATAAATTTCGAAAGTAGAAAGTCACACAAAGTGCCATCTCTTTTATACCCATGGTCTTCATACTAACTCAATTGTGTTATTTTAGGAGATGCTTTGACAGTTCGTCACTCATCAACGTTCTTCTCAACTAAGGACAGAGATAATGACAGCGTTGGCTCCAGCTGTGCTCGGACCTACCACGGTGCCTGGTGGTATAGCGACTGTCATAACTCCAACCTGAATGGCCTGTACCAAGCCGGGGCTCATCAGGACCACGGAGATGGAATTAACTGGCAACCATGGAAGGGGTGGTACTATTCTCTCAAACGCACTGAGATGAAAATCAGGCCTCGAGTCTAGATTCACTCAGGCTGGATGTTGATTGCTTTTGACAGAAGTGTCTCTTAACCTTTACTTTTTGCTTGAGCAAACATTTGCCTACCAATCCTATATTTGTAATGGGGATAGGCAGATTTAAGACTGTCATCTACATTATAATTGAAGAAATTTGTGAGACTCAGTAAAAAATTTGGGAAATGGGTACCTGTGTATCTACTGTATACCAATATACAACATTAGCAGGTGAAAAGATCAACAGCAAGTACTGAATAATTAGGCCTGATTCCTGGAATGTTTAAAATAACAAGGACCTCATATAATTGGCCTATCCTGACCAATCAGGATTCATGAATGGTGGACCTGGATATTCCTGACCAATCATGATTCATGAATGACGTACCTGAATGATTTTTGACCAATCAACACTCATTGATAATTCCTTATTGGCTTGTAAAGACAGCTGCATTTCAGCTAGATACTTTAGACCTCTTGGGAATTTGACAAAAACTACACATAATCTTTTGGTAATTTTTGTTGTTAAATTCAACTTACAACAAATCTGCATGGTTTCATCTGACCCGTCCCCACAATCGTCGTCCCCGTCACAGCGCCATGTTTTGGGGATACAGATGGTGTTGTCACACTCAAACTTGTTAGCTGGGCAGTAGCTACCGTCTGGGTATCTCGTGGCTGAAATTCAACAACATACATGTATCAAAATGTATGTGAAGACTCAATCATTTTACTAATTAGTGATTACTAAGTTTAAAATGCAATCAAAAAAAAAAGTTTTCTCCCGCTTGCTAAACGTCCTACATACTATTATTCATGTTCTAAAAGCTGATTTTACGAAATCAGTGCTACAAGCATGTATTTGTGTGAATTTCTAGCAATTAGGCATTTCACTTAGTCCATGCATTGTTATGACAAAACATCAGTAAACAGAGCAAGATCAAAAACCTTTGTCTTCTGTAATGTTTGCATGTGGAAAAAAATCAATATGATTATGTTATAAGACAAAATAAACTTGAATGTGAAGCGAACAGAGATCTTAAAAATGCTTTCATTCAGCAAAGGATCATACAAAATATTAGAAGCTAAAATGTACGTATTATCAAGTAGCAGCTAAAGCTGTAAAGCACATTAACATTCGACACTAGCAGTTGGTCAAATAGCAACATATGTTGCATGGGCTGTAGAATATTAGACTTACATGTATAATTATTTTGTTTACAACAGAAGACACAAATTTTAGGTACATTGTAATTGTGAGTAGTCTAGTATGATTCTTAGAAAAATGAAGGGCCTTCAATTCACTGATAAATTCAGCTACATTTGAGTTGACTGTTTCTGAGAGAGACACATGTGTACTTACGACAGTTGAACTCGTCCGAGGAGTCCCGACAGTCGCGGTCGCCGTCACACACAAACCTCTGGTCAACACAGTGTCCACTCTGGCACTCAAACTGGTCAGGAGCACAACTCATCACCTCTGGGGGCACAAACAGTAAAAAAATCTTATCCAATACCCCTTTCTGTACTTTTAAATGACAGATATCACATAGCTCTTGAAGAACGTGATCTCGATCCAGTTTTAGCTCACTGAAGAGCTTGTCTCCCACTGGTTGTGACAAAGAAAACAGACAGTCCTGGTATGTACAGTATTTACAGGTTTATTGTACCAGGAAAAGTCCCCTAGTTTTTTCAATAAGCACAATGAAATTTGACAACAGCGTAACATCTCATCCTAAGGATTGCAACACTTCACTAGTAGCGAGCATGTTGGGTGAGCAACAACAGCTGGGATTCGAACTCCCAACCTCTTGGTCGAAAGGTTAATGAATGGTTAAAATATAGCAGGCCTTGCTACTTCTTGTATAGGTGACAAAGGAAGGTCATGAAAAGGATGACTCGTTTGTTGTGGAAGTTGCGAATCCTCTACTCACCACACGACTGCTCGTCTGATTGGTCGCCACAGTCGTTGTCGTGGTCACAGATCCACCTGCCGGGGATACAGCGCCCGTTCCCGCAGCGGAACTCGCTCTCACTGCACTCCCGCGGAGCTGTTCACACCAACACAACAGTGTCAAATTTTATTTCGAAAAAACTAGTAAGCATTAACTATCAACGTCTACTTGTCATTTTCTTACAGCTCACTTTCCTGCTGATTCTGGATAATATGTTCAAACTTTATAGCACAATACTCAAAATGTTCATACAATATAGCTATAGGTAGAGAAAGCGTACAATGTATGTGCATTCTCCCTGAATAGGGTACAATAGGGAATTTTGTCACAATATTTCCTAAAAACAATTAATACGTATAACGTTATATGCACAGGCAAAAAACAGAGATTACCAGGTGACACTACAAGCAACTTTGTGTTTCTTTTTCCAGAGGGAATTTTTGAAAACAAAATGTGTGAATTCTAAGCAATTAGGCATTTCACTTATTAGTCCATGCATTGTTATGACAAAACATCAGTAAACAGAGCAAGATCAAAAACCTTTGCCTTCTGTAATGTTTGCATGTGGAAAAACATCAATGATGTGAACAATATAAGACAAAATAACTTGAATGTGAAGTGAACAGTGATCTTAAAAATGCTTTAACTCAGGAAAGAATCATACAAGATATTATAAGCTAAAATGTACGTATTGTCACGTAGCAGCTTAAGCTGTAAAGCACATACATTCGACACTAGCAGTTGGTCAAATAGCAACATGGGCTGTAGAATGTTAGACTTATATTTTGTTTACAACAGATTAATACATATATATGCACAGGCAATAACAGAGATTACCAAGCGACTTTGTGTCTCCTTTTCAAGAGGGTATTTTGAAAACAAGAACAAATTTTAGTATATCAAGTAATACCATTTGCCACCCGCTGGCGTAAAAAAGTACCAGTACAGGAAGGAAAGCCCGATAAAAACACCTAAAAACACTATAAATAAGCCGAAGCCAAAACTCTGATTGGAGAGTAGGATTTGTAAGGTGCCTGCAAACTAACAGAAAGTAGCCAGTACTTACGACAGCCAAGTTTCGTCACTCCTGTCCCCGCAGTCATTGTCATAGTCACAATGCCAGCGTTCAGGGATACAGCGGTGGTTGTCACAGCGGAACTCTTCCCGGTGCACACGTCATCGACTCTGCACAAACAAACATTTGTTGTTGTTATTGGGTGGGCAGACTACTGTTACAGTAGCTACCCAAACAGGGGCTGAACTGTGAGGAGCGTACAAATGGTGTGTCTAAATGCTAAGATCTTTTCACTGTAATTTTATGTTTGCGGTTTTCGCGGTCACTTTTGAAGTGCAAGCTTATCATTACCGCTAAGAAATTAATTTTTCCGCAGCTGCCACCA